TATTCAAAAAAGCACCCTTACAGCTTCAACGGGGCATGGGGCCAATTTCAATAAGTTTTGGCCTCCCAGGCTGTTTCAGACCCAAAAGGGTGAAGTGAAGATCACTGTGCAAGGCCTTATGCAAGGTCCTTTACTAGAGGTCAAAGCAGAGATGTGGAGGATCAGAGATCTAAAGCTTTCATATATGTGCATATAGGTATAGCTCTTCATTTTAAATATGCCATTGAAGGAAAGTTCTATAGACATTATGTACAGCCCAAAAGTAAAACCAAAGGGTCCAAGCCTGAACTCTCCCTAGAAGCCAATATGACCAAACTGAGGTTATCGTACTTTGGATGTATCACCAGACCACATGACTCAGTGGAGAAAATGATTATGCCTGGCAGGGGAATGGACTCCATCAAGGAAGCTACACCACTGAATTTGCAGGACCTAGGCAGGTGGAAATCAGTCCATTGGTAGAGCTCACAGGGTAAACAGCTACTAACCAATACAATTGTTGGTTTATATATACAGTCCTTGAACAGATCAAACCTGAAATCTCCCTGCAAGCTAAGATGATGAAACTGAGGCTGCCAAGGAAAGTCAAAGGATAATTGAAATAAATCCAGTGCTTAAAGGAAGGAAGTTACAATGAATGGTAAATATGTATGGTTAAGGGTGAGGGTAAATATATTGTGGAGGATTAGAGTATGTAGAAAAGGAGTATGAGAATGTGGGGAAGGGTTTGAAAAGAAGGAGAAGGTGAAGAAGTAGAAGGGAGGGTAAGGAAGGATGAAAACAGAAAGATAAAAGAATGAGTTTGGATAAGAGTGAAGGAAATAAGAAAGTGGTATAGAGGAATGGAAGGAAGGGGATATGAAGCCTGAAGACGAATGATGAAATACAAGTTGAGTTCACTGGAAGATTAAGTAATGTTAGAAAAGAGTAGAGTTAGAGTACTAGGGAATACTTACTGTATGTTTATTGAATACTTATGGAATGTTTAAAGAAACACTGATTATATTTCGATGATGTGTGATTGATAATGTTTTAAATGTTCAATAAAAAAGTAAAAGTAAAAAGAAAGAAAGAAAAGAAAAGACAACAATGCTAGGAAAGGTGGAGGGAAGCAGAAAGAGAGGAAGACTCCATGCTGGATGAGTAAACTCTATATGGGATGTCACAGGTATGAATTTACAGGACCTGGACAGAACTATGGAGGACAACGAATCATGGTGACCCACTTGACCATGGAAACCCACTGAGTAATCTTAGGCAAATCACACACTCTCAAAAGGAATCAAAGATAAGCTCACCCTCTGAACAAATCTTGTCAAGAAATCCTTGTGTATGTAAAAATGTAAAAAAATGTAAAACAATTGCTGCATTTTGGTTAGCCCAAATAAATGTATCACTGTTTGGGGGATTTTGGATGTTATTGTACTTTGCTATATGGCCAGCATGGCTACCGCTGAATATGTTTCCAAAAATGCATGTAGGTTTGCTCAAACTATGCATTTATTTAAATTATTTTTCATTTTTTTAATTAAATTATTGGTTTAAATTATTGCCCCTTCAGGGGGTTTTCCCCCTCCAAAACATGAAGTGAATCACCTTTGGTTTTGAAGCTACCCCAAGCCTAAAGCAGGCTGGGGTGAGTGAGCAGAATATAGCAGAACTTGCCCAATACTCACAGCAGCCCCAAATGAATTGTTAATTGGGGAGTGTAGGATTTCCCCCCAAAATAACTTTTCAAGGGTGTGTTAACTGCAGGAGTCTTGGGGTTCACATGCAGTCTGAGCCCCTCTGTAGTAATTATCTTTTTTACCATTTTTTCCAATCCTCAGTTCATTTTGTCACAAACCTTGAAATTTTTTCCAATCTTATTTCATTCTGAAATTTATTCATTTTTTTCCTGGCTTTTCCCCTTCACTCATTTCTTTCCTTTCTTCCTTGGTCCATTTTGGGTTTCATTGTTTAATGGGTTTAAAAGATTTTTTTGGGGGGGAGGGGGAAATTGAATGAAATTGTGGACAGTTTTGTGTGTACTTCCCTCAACACAACCATATTTTTATGGAGTGTTGTCTTAGCATACAGTTCTTCTAATTATAATCCATTTTCACATTATTTGCATGGGTATATGAATTTGGGGTGCATTTTACCCTAAAAGATGCATTTCAGTATGCTCTGATTGAAGAACTGCATTGCAAAATCTGGAGATGTGTACATTTGCCAGAATACCTGAGTGTTGGCTTTTTGCATAATGTATTGGTTCAAAAGTGCAAAATTAAAGGTAAAAACTTGTCTAACTGCAAACTTTTATGCATACTGGTGAAATAACAGCAATGTGTCTGATCTGAGGTTTATGCACACCATAGGATTATAGCAGTTTGTTACCATTTTAACTTTCATTGCTCCATACCACAAAATCTTGGAATTTGTAGTTTGGGAAGGTATGCAGAATTCTTTGCTAGAAAGCTCTAGTGTTATAGATCAGAGGAAGATACCCCACTAAACTACAAATCCTAGGACTGCCTAGAATGATGTCATGGCAGTTAAATCAGTATCAAACTGCTGTAATTTTTCTGTGTTGATATACCCTGGTCATGAACATTCCCTCCCACACCTGGGGAAAAAAAGAAACACTACAAAGAACTGACAGGATGCAGGTAAATGGAAAGAAATAATATGGTAGGTTTTCTTTCCTGCTCAAGGAAAAGGAATAAGGAAACAAATATATTTTGCTGGTTTATCTCTCCAGGGGACTGGAGGTAGAGGTAGAGAAATAAAATTAAAAAGATGATAATTCACGAGCTCTTCTCATATTTAATTATGATATCTATCCTCCAGTTATATTTGTGTCATGGCAAGGAGACTGGAAGGAAATAATGAATTTTTGCAAGATAAAAGTCAGACAACTGGGGATATGTTCTATAAATATAGAAGTTCTTGAAGAGTTTCTACATGAAGATGGCAGTGAGGGGGAGAGGGCTCCATGCTTCATGCTGAGACAGATAAATAGTTTATAATATGTTCCACCCACACAACCAAATACCAGTTGCCTATTTCTCATTAGATTTACTGCAATGAGCAGACTGGTAATTGTACTGGACAACACGACTTGCAACCCCCTACCCAACAGTTTTGCCTGAAAGACTTTTGCCAAGTCCCTTTTAAAAAGAATAAATATATATGTTATATGTACGGTATATTAGGAGTGTAGATCCTCTTGTCTCATTGTCAGACATTAGAAGATGAAATATTATAACTTGTTTATCCTCTTCATCTGCACAAAGGTAAGATATTTTCTGGAGGGCTGAACAAGAGCATTTGCAAGAGAGATTTTTGGACAAATTTCTTTTGCATTGGAGTGAATAAGAAAAAAAATAATGGGTTACTCACTATATTTACTCAGTGAAATCAGTAAAGATGCTCTCTGTTTCAAACCTATTCAGATGTTCGAACACCTATGTGTGAAGGCGACACAGCTCAACTCCCAGCACCTTCCCTTGAGCCAGAAAGTCTCAATTTCTGCATCAGATTTCCCAAGAAAATGGCAGTGTGGGGTGGGATGAAGTCCAGCAGATACAATTTGTTCAAAAAAAAAAAAAAATAAGGATTGGGGGGGCTTTAGGGGAGTAATGGAAGGAGTCAGCAGCCAGAAAAATGGATTAAGAAGCCACATGCAGCCCATGGGCAGCACTGTACCCTCCCCTTGTTTACCAGGTAGAAGACAAAGGGCAGTATGTGGTCAGTTGACCCACTTTTGTGGCTTCTGACATTCCTCACTAGTCCCTCAAAGCCCTCCCAACCTCTCTATTTTTTTTTAAATTGTATCTGCTGGGCTTCATCCCCTCCTGCACGGGCATTCCATACCTCAACTTTTGAAGACTTGCATAGGGTTTATACTAATAGTGAAGTACAGTGGACCTTTGTTATTCACTGGGATTTGGTTCCAGGACCCCCATGAATAACGAAATCAGTGGGTGTTCAAATCCCATTAAATATAATGGTATAGAAAAATGGTGTCCCTCATGTAAAATGGAAAATCAAGGTTTTGGTATCAGGAATTTATACATTTTTTAAAATATTTTCAGACCGTGAATGGTTGAATCCATGGGAAAAAAATCCATGGATAAGGAGGGCTGACTGTACATACAGAAATACAGGTCTTGTACTAGGTCAGATTCTTGGTGTGTCTGAGTCTTGTCTCTGGTGGCTGCCAGGGGCTGAAACACTGGTTTCAAACAATAAACTTTCCTAGACCTACCTGGAGGTGCAAAGGAGGTGTCATACCACAATAGCTTTTCCTCTTCAATAGGAGCTTAGCAAACCAAAAGCCTGCAGGCACACTTCCTTTCTTTCCTTCATATGTGACATAATGATAATAATAAAGATTCCTGCCCATTGATCTCTGAATTGGTCTCTCCCTCTCAAAATACTGTACCACTTCCTATTGCCATTTTGAGTGGGACTGCAAAAGAAAGCAGAAATGTTCCTAGGTACAAATAAGTCAAGCCCCAATCTAACACTATCAGGAAGCCACTTGCTGAGGTTGTTGTTGTTGTGTGCCTTCAAGCTGTTTCTGACATACGGTGACCCAAAGGTGAACCTATTATGGGGTTTTCTTGGCAAGATTTATTCAGAGGAGGTAGATTATCACACCCAATATAATGCAACTAACAGCAGTAATTTTTACATTTAAAAGTGGATTTTATCGCATGTGCCAGCGGCTGGGTGAGTGCAACCCAGCTATATCCTGGACCCAGTTGCACTTTTCATGCAGCTTTTCAAAAACAGCAGGCACCCATTTTTGGAAAACCATGGGATAAGTGCGGCTGGGGTTGGGGATGCAGTCAGGTTGCATTCGCCCGGCCGCTGGAGCGTGTGATAACATCCATTTTTTAAATTTAGATATGATTGCTGTAAATTGTGTTATATTGGGTGTGATAATCTCCAAGGGTTGCCATTGCCTTCTCCTGAGGCTGAGACCATGCGCCTTGTCCAAGTGAGTTTGATGGCCAAGTTGGGACTTGAACCCTGGTCTCCAGAGTTGCAGTCTGACACTTAAACCACTATGCCACACTGGAGGGACTTAATTATGGCACAGAGCAGGCAAAACATTTTTTTGCAGCACCTCTTGTTTTTTCTTCATCACAAGATGAATATTACATGCCTGATTTGCTGAGTTCCTTTTAAGATTACTCTGAACTCTTCTTTTGCATCTGTGTCAGTTAACCAGGACTCACAAGTGAAATCCCTGAGAAGTATCTTATTATTATTCTCTCTTTTGTAACATGCTATATCTTACAAAATAAGGCTTCTTGGCCTCAAATCTATTCTTAAACAAAGCCAGGCATCAGTTTTGTTGTAAATAAAATGATATAAGAATAAATCTTTCATGCAGAAGTGTTCTTTTCCAGCACAAAGATTTCCTGTGCCCCCCCCCCAGCTCTCTCAAAACAAGTATGTCCCAACAGTGGCCTGCTATTTCCTTCAAGATTACTTTGTTTGATTCTTTGCTAGTTGAATTATTTTAAAGTTCCCTGTTTTGGGAGTGTAATGCTGTTGTTGTGTTTGTCTTTTAAAACAGAATATTTATATACGCACCACCATGGGGTTCCTGTTGGATGGGATGTGGTTTATAAATGTTTTAAAAACTCATAAAGATAAACAAGAAAAGAAGGAATATGTGTCTGATGTTAAATATGGATAATAGACATTGATATTTCATGGGAAAACCAGAGATTTTGAAATTCTATTTTTGAAAGAATTTTCTCACCATATATTGGGCTGGATAAATTGTAATCTGGGGTGGGTACTGGGCAATACATAGGCTACGTGTGTCCTGAACTCTCTCTCTCCCCCAAAAAAATATGCTGCTGGATTTGATAGCATATTATACTGCCAAAATGCAGTTGCAACCATGTAGAACCCCATTAAAATAGCATTTCCTGCTTTTTGAAGAGTTTTTCTCATGTTGTTATCCAAATTCAGACAGACAGTTACTGACAAACTTTGACAGCATGGGTTGTGTATCTCAGAAAGCAAATTATGCCCTCAGACCCATTTAAGTTGCCTATAAGTCTGCTATAATTCAAAAGTATCTGGGCATTATGAGTCCCATCATTCTTGACCATTAACTATTGGCCATCAAGGGCTGGTGTGAATAGGAATGGAAGTCCAGCAACCCCTGGAAGGCTACAGGTCCCTTACCTCTATTATAATGGCTTCATTACTATTCCAGCAAGACAGTCAATATGCAAAATAGCATCATTCTCTCCATGTCAAGCCTGTGAGGCAGGTGATACTCTTCCCTTTTATGGGTGGTTGCCTTGTTCTGAGAGATAATGGCCTCTACAAAGCTACGTCCAGCAGACTGATGTCTGCTGTCTGCCTGATCTGGTGTTGGCTCTTGATTTTGTAAGCCCCTTGGCAATACAGTCTTATCTGGAAACACCACTGCACCACACAAGAAATGCAGAGTGCTGGATGCAGATATATTCCCCACTCCAAAACCTTGATTTTACCCTAACTTCTAGAAGCTGTTTGGATCTGCAGTTGTGCTCCTACCAGAGGCTGTGCTGTGGTCAAGAGAAGTTTCAGGATTCCACAGCTAGGAACTGTACCATTTATACCACATCCTGGGCCATCCCGAAATATTTTGCTCCTTAATGGAGACAACACATGATGTCCTCCATCTTTCCAAGAAAAATCCCTCAAACATTTCTCTCACACTCTAAACATCCAGTAAGGACACAATAAATAACTAATAATTTACTGCCCTTTTATACTATCCAAAATCTGCCACCTGAGGTGGTTGGGTTACTCTGGGCCTTTACAGACTGCCAGAAATAATACAGATTGAGGCCACTTTAACTGTCCTGGCTCAGTGTTAGGGTATCGGAATTGTATTTTTTTTCTGGGAAATTGAGCCTTCTTTGTCAGAGAGCTCTGGTGCCACAATAAACTACAGTTCCTATTCCTTAGCACTGAGCCAGGACAGTTAAAGTGGCCTCAATCTGCATTATTTCTGGCAGTCTGTAAAGGCCCTCTGTCTAATCATAGGGCCAGCTTCAATGCCACTGTCTTTCATCCTCACAGCTCTTCCTTATTAATCCACATTGGCATCTTCTGCCTTTGACCTGGTAGACCATGGTCTGAAAAAAGGAGTACAATGCGGGAAACGCGACTGCATAATTTGAAGCATAGCTCACAGTGGGCTCATTTAACCTTTTCTTGGCTGTTCTGGGAATATAGACCTGTAAGATTCATGTCATTTTCAATAGCATTTTAAAAATTTCTTTCTGGCAGAAGATTTTAAAGAAGAATTACACCCCGTTTCCATTTCATTATCCAGTTCTTAACTCCAGAAGGGAGATAAGAAAACAAGAAGTAACATCATTTTACTTCCATTATAGCCTTAGCCATTATATTTATGTATATTTTCTCCATTTATGTCTTCTCTTTTCTCTTCTTTCTCTCTTCAGCATCAGTCTCCTTTAAAAATTACATTTTATACCAAACATGTATATATCAAGTTGCTCTGGAAAGGCTGTATTGTTCCACAGATTCCCCACCCCCTACTGATTTATTCCAGCCATGATCTTTTTATTTCTTAACAATTTTTGTAGTACAAAATCCTCACAAATGACAGTTCTATGATAACAGTGCAGAGAGCAGTGGCATAAAGCAGTAGGTGGATATGATGTGCACAATGTCAGTGCTATCAGGATGATAATTTAGGGCCCTATAGTATATCTCTCTCTCAAAACGATTATTCCCTCATCTCTGTTCCATTCATCTTAAACTAGGTTTTCAGGCTGGATCTGTTGATAGGATACATTTGGCAGCATTTTATTCAGTAAATATTTTTTGCTTCCATACTGATACGGATAATATATGCTACCCTTGTCAGTTTCTGTGTGGGGAAGATGGATACAACAGCTGGCAGCTCTATATAAATTTACTAGGGACTAAAACCTATTCACCTCAATGGGATAAGGGGACTGTACCATGAAATTATTATTTACAAATCATAAAATGTAGCTATTGTGAAAAATAGCAAAGTGGAGCTATCCTGAAAATTACAACCTTATATAATGAGGTATTATTGTTTTCATGTGTCCAACATATGGTGATCCTAAAACCAAACTATGACAGAAGGTTTCTTAGTAAAATCTGTTCAAAGGATTTGTTGCCTTCCCCTGAGGCTGAGAGAGTGTGACTTGCCCAAGTGTGAGTGACTGTGACAAGGTGTGCCCTGTGTTTCCATGTTTGAGTAGTGATTCAAACCTTGGTCTCCCAAAATCCTAATCCAAAACTCAAACCATTACACTATGATGGCTCTCTAATGAGACATTATTGAATGTGAATAACTTTTAGCACTACTGAACATTTTCCTTCCTTTTCTCTCCACACACACCCTTCTGCAGTCCCAGTGTCATTTTCATAATTTCCATCTTTTTAAGGAGAGGCTTCTGTGATCTAATTCTGCTGTCACACTCTCAGAAAGGGAATCTGTTCTCTCATGAAGTGTGTGAAACACACATTAGGAGCACTAAACACAAATCTTCCAAGGACTTAACAGCAGCTGCTCTAATCAAGGTAACATAAATAGCTATAGCAAAAAGACTTGAAGATCAGGCTAATCACTTTCCAGAGATCACAGAGAAGAGTGAAAAAGGTCCAGGAGGGAGTGCCAGCTTTGGTTTTCTTTGCATTTTTATCTGTCTTGTTCACCCTCCAAAAGTCACTTCAGATGATAAATCAGGTAAATGTGATGGTCAGGAGTGCCTGTTATCAGCTTTGGCTGATATGCCAACTGTGCCATTTCCTGGAAGTTAGGGACCTTGAAACTGTGGTGCATGCTGGTACCTCCCATCTTGATTTTTGTAATGTGCTGTATGTGGGGCTACCCTCGTACTTGGTCTGGAAACTTCAACTAGTATAGAATATGGCAGCCAGGCTAGTCTCAGGAACATTGAGAAGAGACCATATAAAACTGATCTTAAGATCACTTCACTGGCTGCCCATTAGTTTCTGGGCCCAGGACAAGGTGTTGGCTATCACCTTTAAAGCCCTAAGTGGCTTGAGTCCAACCTGTCTTCAGGACTGCCTTCTCCCATACAACCCACCCCTCACACTCAGGTCCTCTGGGAGGAATCTGCTGCAGCCTATAAAAATTACACTGTCTGCAACTGCCCAGAGGACCTTTTCAGCAACCGTTCCCAGATTATGAAATGGCCTGCTGGATGAGATCCTTCATATTACCACCTTGAACAACTTTAAAAAGGCTGTTAAGATGGATCTCTTTCAGCAAGGCTTTCCTAAATAGATATCCCGGCCATCAAAAGACAGCCCAACCTGCTCCCCTGATTCTGCTGCAGTTGTTTATTTGTTTATTTGTATTATTATTTTAAGGATGTTTTAAATTGTCATTGTTTAATAGTATTTTAAGGGGTGGGTGGGATTGTGGGATATGAAATGTATATTTTAATGTTGTAAGCTGCCCCAGTTGCATTACACAGAGGGGCGGGTTAAAAATAAATTTTATTATTATTATTAATTCTTGAAACCACAAATTGAAGTACTCTGACCACAAATCAGCCAAGGTATAACCAGCATTTCAGAATGGAGGTTTGATTAAACTTTGCCACTGGGTGAGATTCCTTCTGCTTGAACACATTTAGCTGCATGGTGTGAAGAACAAGATGATGCCCACCTCTACACTACATAAAAAGTTCTACTGGAGAAGGAGTGGAATCTTATTTTTTAGTGTTCATTATGGGAGTCTATCCTCCACTGTACCTGGAGTTAGCAAACTAGGGTCCATTCTCCCCCTGTGTGCTGCACAGCTCCCTCCTTCAATACTTTGTTGCCACCTCCCAGAATTTACTGCCCCACTAGAATTTGGGAAAAACTTATTACATTTAATGAGTTAATTGTTAATTAGTTACTCCTTTCACTTAATGGGGCTAAATGAGTTCATTTATTGATTAACAAAACTCACAATCAGGAGCACAGAAATAACTAATTAAATTTGCAAGTTAAAATTAGTTAAATTTACTGATGAGCTCATTTGTTTCCC